CCCGATGCCCGCGCCCTCGCCCGCACACGACCCGTGCCCGCGTCCTGTCCCCTAGCCTGCACCCAGGCCAATCCCAGAGACGCCCGGTACCTTGCCACACTAGCACCAACATACACAGGCTTTCTGTGCCTCGCTGGCGGAGTGAGGGAAGGGCTCTGCTCCCTCTCCACCCCCGTGGGTGGACAGCCCCCCCCAATGGCTCCATCACATCCAACAAAGGCTGGGCAGTGAGTAGGGGTGCCCCCCCATACTACATACCTGGGCTGCCGGGGCCTGGCAGCGGCACCTTCTTGGAGGCTGGGGTGGGTGAGCCCTGGGTCTTGGGCACAGGCTGAGCCAGGACAGGCTTGGGAGACACGGGTGGCTTGGCCGGCTTCCGGGCATTGCCGTCGGGCAGGGGCAGAGGGGGCAGGTGCGCCAGGTCGGCGGGTGGCGGCTCAGCGGGCGGGGGTGGCGGGGGCAGCTCCGGGGTCCCGGCCTGCTCCGAGGCGGGTCTGCGGCGCACTGTGGCTGTGCCGTTCTGGTACACGGACAGCGGCGGGGGTGGCTCGGGCCCGGCCTCCCGCTCCTTGGCCTTGGGTCTGCGCTTCACCGTGTCGGACTCGGTCAGGATGAACTTGACATTCTCCTGCTGGCTCTGCTTGGCCCGGATGCGCCTCTTGAGCGTGGCACTGGCCTCCACCCTGGCCAGGGGGGGGCCTTCCGCGCCGGCCTCTGCCTTGGCTGGACCTCGAGGCCGCTGCCTGGTGGCCCCATCCTCCACAAAGTGGCCCTGCTCCGTGGGTTCTCCCGGGCCCCTGCGGGCTGCGGCCAGAAGCCCCGTGACAGGCCCGCTGAGAGTGCGGCGCCGGTTCACCACCTCGCCATCCGGCCCGATGGCCTCTTTGTGCTTCACCGAGGCCAGCACTGTGGCCACCCGGCCAGGCTCCGGACTGGCAGGACGAGGGGTGGGGTGGCCCTCGGGGGGTCGGCGAGCGCCCCGCCCCCCGCCCCCAATGGAAGACAGTTCGAGCATGGCCGCGATGCTCTTCACGCTGCCCGCGCTGCCCGTGTCCACGCTGCCTGCGAGGTCGCTAGCCCGCCGGCGCTGGGCCCGGACGCCCAGCCGGTTGTCTGGGGCAGGCTCGGCCTCGGCCTCAGCCTCGGGAGCTGGCTCGTCAGCCATGTTGGCGCTGGCCACGGCGGAGCTGGAGCGCTTGGGCGGGGGTGGGGGCGGTCCCTTCTTGCGAGGCCGCACGGCGAAAGACTGGCTGCGGTTGACGTTCTTGTCGTGGGCAGCGGGGACCCTCACAGAGTGGCTCCGGCCCACGCGCCGCTGGACCGTGGCGTAGGGCCCCGAGGCGGCGGGCGCCAGCAGCTCATCTCGCTCCGGCTCGCTGTCGGACGCCGCGTAGCGATTCAGGCTGTGAGCTCGCTTCTTGGGGCGCCCAGGCTCCACGTCGGCCTCCGGGGGCAGACAGAGAGTGGGCACGGTCGTGGGCACAGGCGGCGGGGCGGGCCCCGGTGCCACCGGCCCCACCTCGCTCTCCACGGGCTGGGGCAGCACGTAGGCAAAGCCACGGTGCGTCGGCGACTGCGGCAGGGAGCGAGGTGACGAGGGCCGCTCGGCGGGCGGCAGCAGCTGTGGGGTGGGCTTCACCTTGGCGGTGGCCGGGCCGTGAGGTCCCCCGAGGGCTTGAGGGGAGCCCGGCCGGGCTTTGGTGGGCGTCTGCGGGGGGGTGAAGGGGCCGGCCCCCGGCGGGAGGACCTGCCGCGGTTTGCCGGGCACCGGGGGCACGCTGGCCCTCTTGATGCTGTGGCCGTGGCGGCCTGGCCGGACCTCCTTGGGCGGTGTGCCGGGGGCCGGCCCCTCGTCCAGCAGGTACTCCTGGCTTCGTGACATGGGGCTGCTGGGTCCAGGGGGGCCGTCGCCCAGCAGCTCCTGCGAGCTGCTCATGTGCCGAGCCCGCCCCCCCAGGCTGGGCTCCGGCCGCCCGGCCGCCCTGGGGGTGGGGGGCAGGCGGCCAGAGGGCTGCTCTGCGGGTGCCTCGGCCGGGCCGGTCATGGCAGCCTGCAGCTCCCCGCTGAGCTCGCTGTCCTGGAAGGTGGTCATCTTAGGAGACTGGCAGTCGGCGGGGGCAGGCTCAGGCGGGGGGGGCGACTCTATGGCCGTGGTCTCGAGCGACTGGGGTGCCTTCCGCCGCAGGGGTCCCCCCTCGTACTTGGCATATTCGGCCTTCTGCAGCTCGGCCAGTTTCCTCACCGCCAGCATCAGCTTCTTCTGGTGTCCTGAGTGGGGCAGGGGGCGGGTCAGGCGCGGCAGGAGGTGGAGGGGGGCCTGGGGGCAGGGGCGGGCCCTCACCCAGCTTGGTGATGCCGATCTCCTGCAGGTCCTCCCAGGTGATGTCGGTGATGAAGTCGATGTTCTCATAGCCGTTGTCCACCAGCACTTTGTAGTACTGGGCCAGGCCGATCACGGACAGCCACACGGCCAGGTTAGCCTACGGAGCACGGACATCGAGGGGCAGCCGGAGCTAGCCGCTCACACCCTGCCCCCCGCTGGAGCTGTTGGAGGGAGGGGCACTAGGCCAGCAGTGTACGACAGAGAGAAGGACAGACAGACAGGCCCAAGGTGTCAGTATTGAAAAGCAGCAGGTGCCTAGCCTCCTCAGGCCCAGGCCGGCAGGCGCCCCCGCATCCCCACGGGACACCGATGTGGACACGAGCCAACACACAAACACACAGGGGCCTAACTGCAGGACACAGTTCCCGTAGAAGCAACGTCCTTAACTGGCCGGGTGGCCACAGACACAGTGCCCTGAGACACACCCACACGGGGACAGGACACGCAGCGTCACGCTGGATACGTGCATCTGCACACACCCTGAACACCGTCCTTCCAGCCACCTGCACCAGACTCAGCTTCCCTGCCTACATCAGACACGTGCCACACACCTAACACACACCCCACACAGCCACAGCACACGTATGCGCATATCCACACGGTCATCATTCAGAGTAGCTCAGCAACCTTCTGGGCACACAGTCAGTACCACCCGTGCGCCACACTCAGCAGCCTCAGTCGCACCAGAGACAGAGTGAGGCGAGGCACACAGGGCCCGGGTACGCTCCCCGGAGGCCCTGACCTACTGACCAGATAGGCAAGGCCGGGTAGAGACTAGTGCAGGCATGGAAAGATCCAGAGCCCAGGGGAACGGGGGCATGGGGCAGCCAGCAGCCCCTCTTCCACAGAGCCCTGACTCCATGCGCTCCTGTCACATCCGGTGGCCTGGAAGCCGCCCTCCTGCTCTGCCCCCGCCCCTCCAGGCGCCTACCCATTCCTACAGCAGGGGCCGAGCCGTCCGTGCACACACCGCCGGAGACCAGACTGTGAGCAGCCAGCACGGGCGGCCCACGCCGAGGGCCCTCCTCCCCGGGCACCCCGACGGAACCAGCCTGAGGTTCTCACACGGGCTGTGTGGCCAGCAGTGCTGTGACCCTCTGCAGGCTGTGTGGGCCCGGTGGACAGTGCCATGGGGAGGATGCCTGAGTGTGGAAAGGGCACTCCTGGCTCCAGGCCCCAGCGTGAGCCCTGGCCCTGCCTGGCGGGCGGGCTCCCCGGCCCGTGGCCGGCATGCAGGCTCTCCACGCAGCTCCCAGGCAGCAGACCATCCTCCACTCTCCAATCCCTGAGGCCCCGGGGGGGGGGAGGGGGGAGGGTTTAGTTAGGGAGACAGCCTGTCTGTTGTCTGTCTGTCTGCCTGCTGGTCCTGGCTCGGCCTCCAGAGTGCAGGAGCCTTACGGGTTTGTGCTCGGGCAGCCAATCAGGGATGCTCAGGCCACTGATCTCAGCCGTGATCTTCTTCCGGTGGCCTGGTTTGGTGACACCGATGGCCGTGAGGTCCTAGGCAGGGAGGAGGCGCATTAGCAGGAGGCAGGGTCCCATCCCCGAAAAAGGAGACAGCTGGTGGGAAAGGAGGCCGCAAGCTCACCTCAGGGGTCATGCGGCTGATGGTGGGCAGGTCATAGCCAGCATTGGTGAAGTTGGGGGCGTAGAGCTGCAGCTGGAACGTGGCAAGCCACTGGCTGACTGCCTCTGCGCTCTGGAAGACACAAGGCATCAGGGCTGCGGCCGCCTGCAGGGCCTCACCCAGCCTCCTCAGCACCTCCTTCTCTGTTTAGCCGGCAGGCGGGAACGTTTGGTCCTCCGTGGTGATCCGTGAGCAGCCAGGCTCTGGCAAGCCGGGGCCTGGCAGTCTGTGATCTGCCGCCTGCACAGCAAGCGTCCGCAGCCCTGCAAGCTTCTTCTGCGGGCTCCACCCGGCCGGTCCGGCTGCTGTCCGGGGCACAGCCGCCCAGCCCGGCCTTCCCCATTCTGCACCGGGTGCTCCCACAACCATCTTGAGAGGCAGGCGGCTGGGGGGGCTCTGGGGGAAAGGGCTTCAGGATGGGCTGCTCAGCGCTGTCCCTACCAACGTCCCTGAAAGTGGACCCGTGCCACCAGCGGGGCCTCGCCTCCTCTGCTGTACAGGACTCAGCCAGCAGCTCACACCTCCCAGCACACAGGAGCACGCACATGCACCCCACTGTACGCGTGCTCACACGTCATCCATCTGCCTAGCCACACGCACAGGTGCCTAGCTCACAATTACACCATTCATACACACACACACACACACACACACACACGTCACCCTCCACACCAAATGTGCACACAACTAGCGCACAGCCTACATGACAGACAACACCTCTACACCGTACTTGTGTGTGCACACACAACTGCGCACACAGACAGACGGACAAAAGGACAGGGTCTGACCTGTCCTGGCTCCTGGCAGCTGCTGTGGCCAGGCAGGCTGCCTGCGTGCCCGTCAGCCCATCAGCCCGCCAGCCCCACCCCTCCCCGGGAGCCAGCCGGGCCCCGTACCTTGCCCTCTGAGGCTGCTTCCAGCTTCTTCGCCGGCTGCTCCCCGTAGAGCTGCCCGCCGTGGGCTGCGGGAAGCTGGGGCCTGCCGGAGCCTGCTGATGAGAGGGGGTGGCAGGGCACGGGCCGCGCAGGGGCGGCCTCTGCCGGGCCAGTGGAGCGGGAGCGGGGGGCGGGGGCCTGCTTTTACCTGTGGGGCCCTCAGAAGGCTTGACGGGGCTGTCCCCCGGACTGGATTCCGAGGTGGACTTCTGGGAGAGCACCGTGGCCAGGAGCTGCAACCCAGACAAGCTGCTGGCCGGCGCTGCCCCGGGCCTGGCCCGCCCCAGCTGCCCAGTGCCCGGCCCCACCCCGCTGACCTTAACGCCTTCGGAGCCTGCGTGCAGGGTGTGGCCCCCGCCGCTCCGGCCACCAGTCCCACTGCTCAGACTGCCGCTGCGCTCGCCACCTGCCAGCCGAGGGAGGAGCGTGAGGCCGGGCCGGGCCCTGCCGGAGCCCCACGATGGTGCCTGGCACAAGTGCTACCACCCCAGTAGTTCGGAGGCCCCTGGCCTACCTGCAAAAGGCTTCCTCAGCACCCAGATCTCCTCTGGGGGCGCAGAGGGCCCCGCCGCACTGCCTCCCTGGGGCGGGCTTGGCTCACTGCCTGCTCGGGCACCTGCAGGCCGAGCACAGCCTCCCTGAGCCCTGAGCTGCCCACACCCAGCCAGAGGCACGAAGGGCCCAGCAGAGGCACACGCACGCCTCTGGAGGCGTCAGCCTCCTCCTGCACTGGCTGTCTCCGGGGGAGCTGACAGACCCTCAGGAGACCAGGAGAGAGCCACTGCTCCCGGGGCCCTGGGGAAAACGGGGCAGAGGACGGCCGCAGGGGTGTGACCTCTGTGCTGGGCCTGACGCTGATTCCTGGTCTAGATGGTGACCTCGGGGAACGCTTTTCCGTCTCGGTGGCCTCTGTACAAGGCCCACGGAGCCCAGCACCCTGAAGCCATGCCCTGGGGCTTCTCTACCTGGCTGGCCCGCCCGCCCACTCTGTTCCCGCTGCGTTGGCCTCCTGTCTCTCCGGGTGTCTACCTCCTTCGTGTCCCAGTGCCTTTTTTTTTGTTTTTTGTTTTTGGGTCCGGTCATGGGGCCTGAACTCTGGGCCTGGGCACTGTCCGTCAGCTCTTCAGCTCAAGGCGAGAGCTCAACACTTGAGCCACAGCGCCACTTCCGGCTTTTTCTATGTATGTGGTGCTGAGGAATGCAACCCAGGGCCTCCTGCATGCAAGGCAAGCGCTCTACCCCTGAGCCACCTTCCCAGCCCCGCAGTGCCCTTGCACGTGTGGCTCTGTGTGCCCTGCTCCGTGCTGGGCTGGGCTGCCTACCTACTGCCAGCCTCCCTGTGCTGCCCCTCCTCCAGTGTCATGTCCTCCCATGCATCTACCGCTGGCTGCCCCCTCCCAGCCCAGGGCAAGCTCCCCAAAAGTGCAGGCTGCGTCTGTCTGGGTCCCCGTGCGTCCCTAGAGGCGGCCTGAGCACTGCACCATGGTGGGCAGGTTGTGCCCGCGCAGTACGTGAAAAGGGGCCAGCAGGCCAGGCTCTCAGCTCGCTGGCTCTCCACTCCCACTGACGACCCCCCGGCTCCCCTCTCCCGGGGACTCCGCCCCCGAGCGGAACTTGCCTGCCCGCTTGGCGATGGCCTCGCCCAGTGAGGATGGAAAGTAGCCCACCCGGTCGTTGCCGGTCCGGTTGTCGTGGATGCAGCCTTTCCACCGGCCGTCGGGATGCTGCTCAAGGACCTGGCCGAACGGGTGGGCACACGCTGAGGAAGATACTCCAGGCGGGGCCAGCGCCGTAGCACCCCAGCCCGGCTGCTAGGAGAGGGTGCTGTGCTGTGGGAGCATGCCCGGGGACGCCCTCCCCCCAGGAACACCCCCCTGCCCCGCTGACAGCACCCAGGGGCTGTCCTCACCGTGATGATGTCCCCCGCCTTCACGTTGAGGCTGGTCAGGTCGTAGTTGTTGCAGTAATCCTTGGTTGCCCGGACCTGCAGGGCTGCAGAGGCCTCTGGGGACACAGGAGGTGACCCCTAGTCCCCCCATGGTTCCCCCAGACCCGGGCTCCACCCCAGACCTGGGCCCCACCCGGGCCCACCTCGTAGCAGCTGCTTGATCTCCTTGCTGGCCTGGGAGGTGGTGAATTGGTGCACGATGTCCAGGGCCGTCTGGCTATAGGTGTTCCTCACCTGAGCGTTGATCCCGCTCTACATCAGCCAGAGGAGAAGCCGCCGTCACTGGCCTCTCCCCTCTGACCCAGCCCTCCCCCCAGCCCCCAGACTCACGTCCAGCAGCAGCCGGACCACCTCTGTCTTCCCACAGAGCGCAGCCTCGTGCAGGGCCGTGCCAGCCTTGGTCTGCCGGTTGATGTCGATGCCAGCCTGGAGGAGGAGTCTGGGAGGAAGGTGGGGGTCATAAGCAGGACTTCCCCAAACATTCTCCAAGACAGTCCTCGATGCCCAGGTGTCCCGTTGGCACATGCAGTATCTGAGGTTTTACCAAGCACTTGCCCAAGGCCTGTCCCTGGCTAACGCTTTGTCCAGTCCTGGTGGAGGACCTTCTCTGTTGGAGCCCTATCTTACGGCTGGGGAAACTGAGGCATGGAGGAATACCCAGCTGACAAACTGCAGGGGTCCCGTCCCCCAGCCCACCAGGGTCACCCTCGCCTGGGAAGCGGGAAGCCACACGGCAGGAGGGGGTGTCTGACCACATCCCTGGGGGCCCCCAGGAGCTCGCCAGAGCGCCATCCCACCCACCTGCCATACCTGATGATGTCGATGTGCCCGTTCTTGGCTGCCAGGTGCAGGGGACTGGTGCTGTTGGGGTCGGTGGCATCCCCGGGCCGGGGCTCCAGCAAGGCCGCACACATGTTGCTGCTGAGCAGCAGCTGAACGACCTTGAAGAACAAGTGGACAAGTGGGGGGCGGGGCCCCCCCCCACGTCCCCACCGGGAGTAAGGAGGCCGGGAAGGTGGAGCCCGGCCTAGTTCCCAGGAAAGACTTACCCCGACACGGCCAAACTCACAGGCCAGGTCCAGGGGCGTCTTCCCGGAGTTGTCTACCATGCAGGGGTTGGACTGGTGCTGTAGAAGCATCTCCGACTGCGGGTGCAGGGCGTGGTCGGCCCTGGGCGTCTTCCTCCCTTCCCCTCCCCCTCCCCCTCCTCCCCCACGAGGCCTCACCACGTCGTAGTGACCGTGCTGAGCTGCCAGGTGCAGGGGGATGTGGCCCTCATCGGACGGGATGTTCACCGCCGAGCCGGCCTTCAGCACCAGCTTCATGGGCTCCTTCCGGCCCTGCCAGGCTGCGTAGTGGAGTGGCCTCATGCCTGGACATGGGTGGGGATGGGCGGGGACAGGTGGGGACCCTGGCCTGAGGACACATTCTTTTTTGTTGTTGTTGTTGGTCGTGGGACCTGAACTCTGGGTCTGGGCGCTGTCCCTCAGCTCTTCAGCTCGAGGCTAGCGCTCTACCATCTGAGCCACAGCGCCACTTCTGTTTTTTTCTGCTTTTGTGGTGCTGAGGAATCGAACCCAGGGCCTCAGGCATGCAAGGCAAGCGCTCCACCACTGAGCCACCTTCCCAGCCCTGAGGACACTGGTTCTCCCTGAGTCAGACCCAAACCTGGGCACAGAGCTCAGCAAGGTCTGTCCAGGCCGAGGGGATTGACTCCTGAGCTTGGGCGTCTGCCCCGGCTTCCTGGCCCCACAGCAGGCTTGCCTTTGTTGTCCTTGATGTCCACAGCAGCCTGGGCCTCCAGCAGCAAGGTGATCAACTCCGTGTTGCCGTTCAGGGCGGCGTGGTGCAGGGCTGAGAAGCTGGGCAACCAAGGATGGGGTCTAGGAACAGGTACACCACCCCTGGCCCTCCCCAGCGGCTACCTACCCCACAAAGGCTGCCACTGCCCCAGCTGGGAACTCACCCATCTGGATCCTGGAAGTTGACGTTGATCTTCTTGGTAGAGCCCAGGAGCTCTGGGGGAGGAGGGAGACACAGTGAGGGGAGGCTCTGCCCAGAACCTCCAGGCAGAGTAAGAGCAGGGGAAGGTAGTGGAAAGCTCCGGGCAGGCTGGGAGCCAGATTCCTGGTCTACAGCACAGATGTGCAGCCTGCGCTCGGCTCCAGGTACCGGCTTGCCCGTGCACCAGGGTGGACGGTGCGGTCCCCGCAGGACCTGGCCTCTGCACCTGGAGACAGCCCGCACGCACCCATGTGCACACACGCTCCCTCCTTGGGGACACCTACCATTGGTGGGAGGGAGAGAGCCGGCCCCATCTGTCTCTCCAAAGGACCCAGATGGGGCCGGGGGTGGCCAAGGAGGCTGGAACGCCCGGAAATGGGGTATCTCTGGGGGAAAGAGCTGCATCTCCAGGGTGCAGCCCCCTCCATCCCCCACTGCCAGTCCTGGCCAGGGGAAAGGGAGGCATGCAGGGCCGGGAGAGCCTTCATGTAAGCGGGGCCTTGCTCAGAGCCCAGGTTCAGCACCCAAGGCCTGGGGGCTACCCTTTCCCTTTGGGGCGGGAGTTCCCCGCCGGGCCGTCCCCTATCCCCGCCCGGCTGCCAGCCAGAGCGAAGGAGCCCACCAATAGCTCCCCCGTGGCCTCCCGCCAGCCCCCCTGCCCGTCTGGGCCGTGGTTACATAACCCATTTGTGGGTCAGTCGCTCCGTGAGAGGGGGCTGAAGACAGAAGCCCCTTTGTCCAGGCCCAGGGCAGGGGTGGGGGCAGGGGCTCAAGGGCAGGGGAGCCCAGCAAGTAGAGTCGCGGAGGGGAGGGCTGGTGCAGGGCTCCACTCCCGCTGGGCCCTGGGCCCTGGGCACCCCTGAAACCCATCAAGTCAGAAGGCCCTGAATTCACCTCTAGGCCTGACCAAGTCTGAGCTCTGGGGCCCCCGCCCTGAGCTGGAAAGAGTGGCAGAGCCTCCACCTCCCGCCCCGGCCCTCGCGGTGGATGCTGCTGCCGCTGCTGAGTGCCCTGGCGCTGAGGGGCAAAGCCTGGGCGTCAGCCCGGGCGCCCGGCTCCACACCCGAACCCTGTGCTCAGGTACAGCCTGCTGACTCTGCCTGGAGAGCCGCTCTCTCGCTCTGAGCTCCTTCACCCAGCCCGCATCACTAGTTCCCCGTGCCCCCGCCCCGCCCCTACCTGGCACACTGCTAGACACAAGTGAGGCCCCCCGGGGCCTCCGGCAGGGTCCCCGCTGGCACCTCCCCATCTCCCACCGTTGTAGTGACCCTGCTCCTCTCTTGCTCCACGCGCAGGGCCAGGCAAGGCCTCCTCACCCTGCCCTGCCCCTCCCATTCAGAGGCTCAGCCTCCCACCCTGTCCTCCCTACCACCCCCGGAATCTCATCGGCTTTTTTGTTGTTGTTGTTGGTCATGGGGCTTGAACTCTGGGCCTGGGCGCTGTCCCTCAGCTCTTCAGCTCAAGGCGAGCACTCTACCACTTAAGCTACAGCGCCACTTCCGGTTTTCTTGTGGTTAGAGATAAGAGTCTCTTGGACTTTCCTGCCAGGGCTGGCTTTGAACCGTGATCGTCAGATCTCAGCTAGGATGACAGGTATGAGCCACCGGCGCCCAGCCCATCTGCTTATTAACTTGTCTCCTGTCCATTTCCCCACTGAACTAAACACGCTAGGAGGATGAGGCCTTTTGCTGACTCTGCTCCCGGCTGTCCCTGTGGGGCTAACCCAGGGCCTGCCAACCGTGCGGCGGTGCTTGGCGGCGTCCATTCATAGTCCATGCGCTGTCGCCATCAGGGCCGGCTTGATGGGCAAGTAACCTGCTCGGCCAAAAACTCCTGATGTTTGGATAAGGACGTTGCATACTTCATTCTGCATGAGGGCTGCCCACGGTGTGGCCAGGCCTGCCACAGTCCCATCCATCGGGCCCGGGGCTCTGCTCGAAACCCTGTCCCCCTGGAGTGCTCTCCCTGCTCTCCTCAACCCCAGTATAGCTGTCCCCATCTCCAAGACATCCCGGGCCCTCTCGCAGCTTCCATGCGGGGCCTCCAGGCAGCTGGAGGGGAGTTCAGGCCAAGCACACCTGCTCTTGGGGACAGTGTCTAAGACTTCAGCGGGGCCTTGAGCAAGACAGACTCCAGGGGGGTGGAGCCTCTGCCAGGCAGGCCGCTAAGGCCCCGCCCGTGATGCTGAGCCGCTAAGACCCCTGCCCATGATGCTGAGCCGCCCCAGCCTCAGGGGCCTGCAGGGCACGGCGTGAGGGAGGCCTGCGGAGGCCGTCCCACCAAGGGACAGCAGTCCAAAAACTCAGGTTCTCCCGCGGAGAGACTGGTTTTCTGAATGAAATAGGAGCAAGGCATTACCGCAAAGGGCTCGGAGATAAGGAGGTGCCAGTGGTGACCAGCCGATGGCCCTGGGGGTGGGGGGGCTTCTCTTTCTAGGAGATCAGAGGCCTGAGAACCCAACATGACCCACTTCTTGGGATCCTCGTTCACGGTATCCCTGATAGCACCCACCTTCGAGGTCACACTCAGCCTCGGGCTGGAAGGGAATTCTTAGCGGCCTGGGGTGTCCACGGAATCCCTCCCCAGCCAGCCTGCAGTGGGGCTGGGGCTGAGAAAATGGCAGAGCTGGCTCCCCAGCAGAAGGGCAGCCCCTGCCTACATTTTCCCTCTAGAGCCCTCCCTCCTCCTCTTCAAGGAGAGCTGCTGAGTGTGTGTGCACGCACGTGTGAGGGGAGGGGGCGGGGCTGACGTGAGGGAAGGGGCGGGGCACAGGGTGGAGCTCAAGGTACAGGACCTGCCCTGGGAACACCTCCGTGCCGGCAGGGGTGGGGGTGGGTGGGGGTCTCTGGAGGACACTTCTGGACACCTCCAACCTTGTGGCCCAAACTCCAGCTGTACTTTGCTGAATCAAAATACATCTTACTCCAAAGCAGGCCAGCGTTGCCATGACAACTGAGCTAATTCATGGAGGGATTTCTCGACTGATTTATTACTCCCGCCCCTGTGAGTCAGACCATAGACGCAGGGGGCCAACACAGTGTCTCTCCTGCCCCAGAGGCCACACCAGGCCAAGGTGGAGGGAGAGTCCCAGGGAGAGAGGACACCCCCCCAACTTCCCCAGGGTAGCAGAACAGAAGGGAGGGGGGACCCTGCTCCCAAACTGCATGTCCCGGATGGGGAAGGCAGGTCGTGTTGACGTGCACTTTCTCACCAACCGTCCAGACACAGCAGAGAGGCAGGGACGGCCCCGAGGCCCATCCTGCGGACAGACTGGGCCCCTGCAGTCAGATGTGGGTGTCTACAGACTTCGCAGCCGCTAGGTGGAAGCCTGGACCTCGCTTGCCGGGGCTGTGTCTGCCTCTCCCTGGAAGCCCTCCCTTCCTCAGCGCGGAGACCCTGCACAGGGCCCTGGTGAGAGGAGCCTTCCAGCCGGCTGTGGGGCTGTGGGCCGGGGCTGGCCCGTGTGTGACACCTGTGCCCTCCCTCTGCACAGTGGACAGAGGGAGCCAGGCGGGGCTGCTGGAGGGCGGGAGGGGGAGGGGGTGTCTGCGTCCGTCCTTCCTGCAGTGCCAGGACTTGGCGCGGCTCTGGAGAGCGAGCCCCCCACCCCCACCCAGCGCTCCTGGGTGGTCTGTGGGGGGCAGGTGCCCAGGGCATGCGGCTCCCCAGTGCCGAGCGGCGCGGCCCTGGCCGTGTCCACACAGGTGCCCCGACACACTGACACGCTCCTACGTGCGCAGCCGCACACGAGACCGGTCCACACGCCCATCCATCCACCCATCCATCCATCCACCCATCCATCCATCCACCCATCCATCCATCCACCCATCCCTCCCCAGCAGCCTCCGGGGAGGCTCGGGGCTCAGCCGGGACGGTGCGGGATCAGGGCTGCCAGCTCGCAGGCCTTCCCTGGAGTCCCACAGTCCGGGCCGGGGGG